CAATACAAAAATGAACCAACACAAAGCACAACAAAGTCCCTTGAATTAAGTTTTACCTTATCATTGTGGTAGTGGTACTGACCCGTGTGGGTCATCAGGGGAGTCATCACTGTGGTTGTTTCATCCACATAAAACTCCTGCAGGGAGGTCTTCTCTGGCTGAAAAGCTGTCCTCCAGTTGCCTGAACAGACACAACCAAAGAACACAATCAGGTACTGCAAGGTGGTGCAGGTTGGGGTAAGGGTTAGAAGATAAGAACAGCAGATACATACCTTGGAAGTTGAAGGAAGAAACAAACAGCAGGTCACTGCTGGAGTTCAGATCTTTGAAGATGCCCTTCACCTTCCCATTTGACGTCTTCTCCAGGAAGCTGTTCACCAGATGCTCGGCCTCCTGTGGATTCGAGAAGTCCAAGCCGCGGGTGAACGATGTGTCAGAGAAATCCTGTGTGCCTTGAATAAAGTCCTCTGACAGTTGAGCGTCCTGGCGAGAGAAGGTCCAGACCTGGGTGGTGATTTCATCTTTTGGCCCGTCGTCCACCAGAGAGTTAATGCCCTGCAGGGTCTTGAGGAGCTCGTGTCCGTCCACCAAGGACACACAGTCCTCCCTGTCGGTTTCAATGCGCAGGCTTAGTAGATCCTGGAAGGAAAGGAGTGAATTTAGAAAGCCTTACTTCTCTGAGTGAAAGTACAACACCAGATGAGAAAAATTGTTACGGAAAAAAGCAGGATATGCATGCCTTGAACGTCTTTGGTCTATCTCTACAAAAACAAATCAAAATCAAAGACCTGGTATGGCATTGCTGTCTTTGTGGAGACCCCCAGGTAGAAGGTGATGAGGGAACCAAAGGTGTTGACCGGAGACAGGAGAATGTTGGTGCCTGGCTGCTGCCTGCTGAGAGCCTCGTACAACCTCAGGCCCAGAGTGTTCAGCAGCTGTGCCAGGACCGCTGTCTTCGTTGTGATGTTATGCCTCTGGGCGTCCACCTCCAACTGGTCCCTGTTGTCTGGTGTCATGACTTCAATATCAAGGGGGGCCACAGGAACCGTGTGCAGAGGCTTGGACGTCTTGGTCTGCAGGGTCTCGCAGCTGACATTAGCGACAGCAAAGAGGGAGAAGGGGTGGACGTAGACACGGTTGGCTTGACTTCCTGAGAGGTAGCAGCAGAGCAAGAGGGCTCCGAGAGACGACCGCATTTTCCCTTTTGATGATAGTCACCTTACAATAGATTCTTCTGTGGGAGACGGATATTTTTAGTAAGCATATGAATTACCTTGAGTATATCTTGTGCCTCCTGAGTCTAAGTGCGCATTGAGTTCTACATCAATATTAGTTTGGCTTTCGTCTGAAATCTGGCTGGATCTGGTTTTTTGTCTCCGACAGGATTGGCTGGCAGGAACATTGGACATAGAGCGGCATGTCAATGATGGATTGATTTCTCTTTGTGTGTCCTCTCCTGCTGCCCAATGAATGAGAGCAGGCATTACCCTCTGCAACAGAGGTCGCATAGATAATGAAGACGCATCTACGTTGCTGTGGGCAAATTTGTGTGTGTTCACTGATTAAAATAAGATGGATGTTTCATTTGGATATTGTTTTCTTTCTTTAAATCCTGGTATTGCAGCGTTTCAATCTGGGGCGCCAACTGAGTGTGTACATTTAGTCATTTAATCCAAACTGTTACCATACACAAAACGGTGGGCAATATTATTTGGACATTTTAAGTTATATTAACGGTCCAAATAAACACATCTAGAATGAATGGATTCAGGTTAGAAAATACACTTTTTCACACACATGAAGTACATTTTAAAAACATTTCTGACAAGTTCATTGAGTAACTTTGTTTAGGGAGTGCCTAACAAATGAGACTAAACAATGTTTTAAATACTACAGTTGGCCATCTAAGCTAAACTGACAACTTTCGCTCCTTTATTGTGAACATATTATGTGTTAAGCTACAATGTAGGAGAGTAGCTTGGGTGAAAGCTCTTGTGCAAAAATAGGACTATATCCTGTGAGTTAAACGTGCAGAAATGTGGACTGATGGACTCTTGGAAGGGGTGAACAAACACTAGATTTTCCTCTATTAGGAAATGTACAACAGGACATGGCCTTAGTCTCTAATCAATATAACCATTGCACTCAAATGTTCTTATAAACAACCAGCACACCTGTGTACCCAGTGATTTAATGACAACATGTTTTCTGCCAAATTCAGAATCTTTGACCGCATTATTTCATGCGATCTGATTCATTATAACCTTCAAGTAGCAACTCTACAGAAATTAGTTGCACTTTTTTTTTTAATGAACTTAAGCAACTCATTGAATAAAACGTTTTGTCCAAGAGAGTTGGACAAAGAACATTATATTTGGGTTTTGTGGAACATAATTGGATTAGTTAAATCAGTTATAGAGTTCCAAACATTGCCCCTCACCTCTGAAGGGTTTGGATATTCACTGCACAATCAAAAGGCAAATGAGATCAAATCAAAGCTTGCTCTTACCGAGTGTGTCTGCTGCTGCTGAGTGAGGTGCTGAATGAGGTCCAGGCTGCTCGGCTCCCTCAATTTAACACAGGCCAGCCTCGCTGCTCCCACTCTGGTTACTGATTAACCAAAGCAGCATTGAGTCAGGGGCTCTGCTGTCATGATTTCTACCCCGCTTTGTACTGACGCACTGCTACTGCTATAGAGAAATAGGTCTGACAGAGAGACAACACAATGTCCCTCTTCATGTTGACTTAAGGAAGATGATGCAAACTCATCCTGGAGGGGGAGAAAGCAGGGATAAACTTTCCAATAAAGACAGATAGGAAGCACGGGGACAGCCAGGCTTGTTTTTGTTTGAGATTGACTCACTGACATGTCATCATATTGTTGGGTCATGTTTTTGTGAAGCGGGGAAATGTGGTCTTCCAAATGTTGCTCATATACTCGGGGTCAAACACGTCTCAAACATGACTCACTTAAAATCTATACAGTAAAGGCAAAAAGAGGACAGCTTTATTTCCTGTCAAATTATTTTATTCTGCTATCATTCTATGTAACTCATACTCTTTCTCTAAATCCAGAAACAATCCATATGAATCTTCTTTCACATTATTTATTCCATGCCATTAGTGCAAATTGCAGAAATGCTTATTTAAAACACAATAGCTGATTGAATCATGACAAATGTTATGGCACCCCACATTTTCTATACTTAATAACCATCTGCAACTGAGAGAACACATCGGATTTGATGCGAATGTACAAATAAAAAAGTACTGTGTCTCTTTATCGTGTGAAGCTGTTGTAAGTTCTAAAGATAATAAGCCCAACTAGTTCTAGTGAAAGCAACTCTCAGATTTTCTTTATAGGCAGATAAACATGTTCATTAAGCTGATTTCTAATATATTAGCTAATATTTAGCTAATGTTCCATATTAAAAGGCCACATCCGTGACTCAAATAAGGAAAATCCTGAACACACAGCTGATTCAACAGGACAGTTTCACTGTTTTTTCTCACCAGAAAGAGAAACACTGGTTACGTTTAGTGTTTTACAGCCCGGTTTTATCCTTTTTAAACATTGTAAATTATTATAACGGGAAGTTAGGAGTCTATAAAGCAAAAATTACGACTTTCTTGTAAGCTGACAATTTGACAGATAAGTATTCAAGGTCACTCAACTAACTGTTCACAATGTCAAACTGATAAAGAACATTCATGCTTCTTCTTCTTCTTCTGTCCTCGTTTCAACCAATGACACATCGCTACTGTATGTTGCACGTTCACCATACAGTGTGTTTTTGTGTAGCAACTCATTGATACAAATATTAAGTCCAATATTCCCAATTTACCAAATAAACACATTAAAAAAATGTATGACAATGATCAGATTTTTTTTTAATAGTTTTTTTAGGTTTATACTTGAAGAATAAAATGGATGATCATAGATGAAAGCAAAGTATGAAATGGCTGTACATTTTAAAAGGTCATTTATAATATTTGATTTATACAACCACAAATATAATATATAACTAAATGAGATGTTTCATATTTTCATTTGTAATTTAGATACGCCTTATAATTGGATAATATATACAATTCAACCCATAAGAGATTAATACAATGTTGCATTAAACAAATGCAACATGATTTTAAAATGTTGACTTTCAGCAAATAAAAGGTATTTTTACTTTGTTCACCATGTTTGTTCAGCAAGTCAGCATGCTAACAATTGCCAATTCATTAACATTTGCTATTAATACAGCTAAGGCTTTCTGCTGAAATGATTTGCCAGAAAACACATGTAGACAAAGTTAAATTACTTGTGTTACATGTGTGCATGTAAAGGACAGGACAAATATACATTTCTGTAAAGATTTAACATAAATGAAACAACATCAATATTTTACTATCATTTTTATAAAAATGTTTTTAACATCTCCAGTTACAGTCAAATCAATGCAACTGATGCAGCAGGATTGGTGTAGTTACAAGAGTCAGTGACACATCTTCAGATGTTAGCTACACATGTAAGATCATACTTGATATTTTATTATCTGCCCATCTGTAAGTTCCCAAAAGCCCTTGTGAAGTTGAAAGGTATTTTTACATTACATTGCATTTAGCTGACACTTTTATCCAAAGCGACTTACAATAAGTACACTCCACCAAGAAGATACAAACTTGAAGAAAACAGAATCATATAACTACATCAGGTTTCACAGAGCCAAACCATTTTAAGTGCTACTCAACTGGCTTTAGATAAGCCAGTGCATTGTTGGAATATAAGTGCTTTGTTAATATATAAGTGCTTAGTTTTTCTAATGCAAACATCCTTAAACACATCCTGAAACCAAATGTGAACAATCTTTGTGTAAGCTTCATGATAGTTAACTAAGTGCTGTCTTTCCAATGAATGAGTAATCAATCAGTATCAATGTTGGTGGTTTGAGACACTTTATGGGTGCCACGTCAAGGTGTCTGCCTATATAAGCTGCAGTGTTCAGCATGTGAAGCAGGTTGGCAGGTAAAGGAATTCGCCATGTGGACTCTTGTGGTTCTTTGCAGCGTGATTGCCTCACTTGGAGTGCAAGGTATTGTGCATAATTTTCTTATTGTCGTTTGTGTCTCTTTGGTTTTGGATTAAGGGTTTATGGATGTTGTTAATCATTCCTTTGTTTTTCTCATCAGGTGCTGATCAGATCCAAAACAGTGAGGAAAAGAATCTGGCAACAGGTTCTCCAGGTAAAAAAATTAAATCAATCATTTAAAACTGGTAAAAAGGTTACCACCAAAATTAGCAGCATAATGTCAGATCATGGTTCTGATTTATACCTAAAAAATAACTGATTTAATATGTAGTTCTAAATAACTTGCAGGTACAAAGGTAACTGTTTACAAGGAGGATGACACTCTTCATGACACTAATGAAGCAGCAAAGTGTTGCTTTCCAAATCATTTAAGAATTAACTAGGCTACAAACTAAAAGCATTTTTAATGTTTAGTTTTTGTCTGTAGGAGAATGACACAGATCACATGTTATAACCCTTATGGTTCTCATACGTAAACAATGAAACATAACATTATGTTGAGAGCCTAACTGTGTGTTTTCAGTGATGGTGATTGTTCTGTCTGCTCTTTCCACAGATTCCTGCCTAAATAGCTGTGGCAACCATGTTGGAAACTGCTCTTGCTCTTCAAGCTGTGAAACCAATGGGGACTGCTGTCCAGACTATTATGGTAAGCCCCTTATTGGAACTTTTATTTATAACATAGGTTTTTTATATTTTGTTATACATGTACTTTTTGCTTGAGTTAGGATCTAAATACCTTTTCTATCACTGGGGTGAACCAGCAAAACAATCATTGATATATTTAATAAGAGAAAACAACAAATAGGGGTTTAGGTTCATAAGTATATATAAGTGTATGTGCTTACTCCATCGCACCATTGTCCTATCTCTACAAAACGTTTCATTTGTGATTTTTAATATATACACTTTATATTAATATGTGTGTACATATAGTCAACTGTACTTACCTTGTATATATTTGTTGTCCTTGTTTTACCTGCAGAACAAAGACCTGTATTTCTTTGTTTGCACATTGATAGCAACAGAAATGAGGAGTCAAATTCCTTGCACACACATTGGCCAATAAAGCTGAAGCTGAATCTGATTCTGATACACCAACCAATCTAATATTTCTGCTTTACAGATTACTGCTCTTCTACAGCTGAACCAGCAGCACGTACAGGTATTGTTCATTTCACTCAGGTAACGTTTTATTTTTAAAAAAAAGTCAAGTTATCACTCTTTAAAGTACATGTTGTTTCCCATAGCTCGGTCCTCATGTCGTTACAACTGCGGCTGGAACATGGGAACCTGTTCCTGCGCAAGCTCTTGTCAATACTATGGCAACTGTTGCCATGACTACAACTGTAAGTGCCAAGTCTAACAAATCAACGGGTAAACGACCTTTAGCAGCCGAGGAGAAATCACTCTGTCAAACTCACTGAAATGATGTGCAGAGAATGACACATTTCCCCTTTTGTTTAAGAGCTATAGGTGTATTCCAGAAATGTAAAGTACAATCAATCAAGTATTGACTTAAGTCGGGTACTTTTACTTTTAATTGAGTATTGTTATAATATGCTGCTTTATACTTCTACTCCACTACGATTTGGGAGCTAATATTATACTGTTTACTCCATCACATTTATTTAGACAAAATCAGTTACTTTTCAGATTCAGGCTAAAACAAACTTTCAATAAACTAATATATAAAAATGATATATAATTATATGTTCATATATCCAACAGCAGAATAACTGAAAGTAGCTCCACTTTAACAGCTGTGATTAACACGTAAATGCATTAACACAAATAATCCAGTAATTTAATATATATGATTCGGGACACTACTACACACAGTAAATACTTTTGGATTTTGTACTTTTACTTAAGTAAGATTTTATATGCAGGACTTCAACTTCACTGTAGTATTTCTACTTTACTTAAGTACGATATATGACTACTTCTTACAACACTGGTGTTTTCTAATGAATATGCAGTAAGACAAAGATTAAAGTTTGTTATTCTCTCTCTTTCTCTCTATCTAGATTACTGCCCTGCAAGCTCTACCCCGGACCCTTACGTGACACGTATGTACAACTCTTCAAGCTACTAAGAAAGAAAAAGAAAGAAAGACAGCCTTTTATTACAAAAGTTATTATCTCCAGCTACCAGTCCACACTCCAGACCCTACAGACTGAGCTACTGCGGCCTCTTTACTCACGTTTACCCATTTACCTTCAGCTATTTCATATGTAACATTTCCTTTATACTGTTCTGTTAACGTCACCCTGTCTCTCCTACAGCTCGGCCCTCGTGTCGTTACAACTGTGGCGGGCACATGGGAAGCTGCTCCTGCTCAAGCTCTTGTCAAAACTATGGAAACTGCTGCTACGACTACTATTGTAAGTGCCAAGACTCACAAATCAGAGCAGGATCTGCATCCCTCTCTCAGTGAGGGAGGTATGTTCATATACAGACATGTTGGGATACAATGTTTTGTTTAGTTGTTTTTGAGTCTGTTTGTATGGGATTTGATGGACCTGTAGCATCTAGCTCTTCTGCCCTCCGGTAGATCCTACAGGTCCATCAAGTCTCGTACAAACAGAATCAAATACCGTATTTACATGAGAGCCATACAAGAACTCATTACTGTCTAAAAACGATCTAGCACCACAACACATACTGTTACAGACAATTTCCAACTGCACTGCACTTCAACACATATTTATTTATTCCCATGTTAATGAATTTATTAAGTGATAGACTCAATGATTGCAAAATCTCAATTCCTGTGTTTTTTCCTGTATAGTAAATCGTATTTATTGTATGTGTGTGTATGCGTGTGTATGCGTGCGTATGTGTGCGTATGTATATTTACATAAATGTATGTATGTATAAATACATATTATTATTACATTTTTAGAGGTGTGAACAATTGTAATCACTTTACTGTCTTTTTTGTGTAGCCACCTGCCGGCCAACTACAGTAGCACCTACACAGACCCCAACAGGTATAAAACGCTCTCAACAACCTACATTTGGAATAGTAAATATTTATTATCAATTACTGATACGTTGAAATACTCTCTACCCTGCTACAACACCCTCAGGTATGAAAACATTCCCGAAACCTATAGAGTATGCGGGAGAAAACAAGCCTATAATTTATCCCGTTTACAGGAGATATTACTGATATGTTTTATTACTTCCCCTGTGTCTCTAAGCTCGGCCCTCGTGTCGTTACAACTGTGGCGGGCACATGGGAAGCTGCTCCTGCTCAAGCTCTTGTCAATACTATGGAAACTGCTGCTACGACTATTACTGTAAGTGCCAAGACTCACAAATCAGAGCAGGATCTGCATCCCTCTCTCAGTGAGGGAGGCCTGTTCATATACAGACATGTTGGGATACAATGTTTTGTTTAGTTGTTTTTGAGTCTGTTTGTATGGGATTTGATGGACCTGTAGCATCTAGCTCTTCTGCCCTCCGGTAGATCCTACAGGTCCATCAAGTCTCGTACAAACAGAATCAAATACCGTATTTACATGAGAGCCATACAAGAACTCATTACTGTCTAAAAACGATCTAGCACCACAACACATACTGTTACAGACAATTTCCAACTGCACTGCACTTCAACACATATTTATTTATTCCCATGTTAATGAATTTATTAAGTGATAGACTCAATGATTGCAAAATCTCAATTCCTGTGTTTTTTCCTGTATAGTAAATCGTATTTATTGTGTATGCGTGTGTATGCATGCGTATGTGTGCGTATGTATATTTACATAAATGTATGTATGTATAAATACATATTATTATTACATTTTTAGAGGTGTGAACAATTGTAATCACTTTACTGTCTTTTTTGTGTAGCCACCTGCCGGCCAACTACAGTAGCACCTACACAGACCCCAACAGGTATAAAACGCTCTCAACAACCTACATTTGGAATAGTAAATATTTATTATCAATTACTGATACGTTGAAATACTCTCTACCCTGCTACAACACCCTCAGGTATGAAAACATTCCCGAAACCTATAGAGTATGCGGGAGAAAACAAGCCTATAATTTATCCCGTTTACAGGAGATATTACTGATATGTTTTATTACTTCCCCTGTGTCTCTAAGCTCGGCCCTCGTGTCGTTACAACTGTGGCGGGCACATGGGAAGCTGCTCCTGCTCAAGCTCTTGTCAATACTATGGAAACTGCTGCTACGACTATTACTGTAAGTGCCAAGACTCACAAATCAGAGCAGGATCTGCATCCCTCTCTCAGTGAGGGAGGCCTGTTCATATACAGACATGTTGGGATACAATGTTTTGTTTAGTTGTTTTTGAGTCTGTTTGTATGGGATTTGATGGACCTGTAGCATCTAGCTCTTCTGCCCTCCGGTAGATCCTACAGGTCCATCAAGTCTCGTACAAACAGAATCAAATACCGTATTTACATGAGAGCCATACAATAACTCATTACTGTCTAAAAACGATCTAGCACCACAACACATACTGTTACAGACAATTTACAACTGCACTGCACTTCAACACATATGTATTTATTCCCATGTTAATGAATTTATTAAGTGATAGACTCAATGATTGCAAAATCTCAATTCCTGTGTTTTTTCCTGTATAGTAAATCGTATTTATTGTATGTGTGTGTATACGTGTGTATGCGTGTGTATGCGTGCGTATGTGTGCGTATGTATATTTACATAAATGTATGTATGTGTAAATACATATTATTATTACATTTTTAGAGGTGTGAACAATTGTAATCACTTTACTGTCTTTTTTGTGTAGCCACCTGCCGGCCAACTACAGTAGCACCTACACAGACCCCAACAGGTATAAAACGCTCTTAACAACCTACATTTGGAATAGTACATATTTATTATCAATTACTGATACGTTGAAATACTCTCTACCCTGCTACAACACCCTCAGGTATGAAAACATTCCCGAAACCTATAGAGTATGCGGGAGAAAACAAGCCTATAATTTATCCCGTTTACAGGAGATATTACTGGTATGTTTTATTACTTCCCCTGTGTCTCTAAGCTCGGCCCTCGTGTCGTTACAACTGTGGCGGGCACATGGGAAGCTGCTCCTGCTCAAGCTCTTGTCAATACTATGGAAACTGCTGCTACGACTATTACTGTAAGTGCCAAGACTCACAAATCAGAGCAGGATCTGCATCCCTCTCTCAGTGAGGGAGGTATGTTCATATACAGACATGTTGGGATACAATGTTTTGTTTAGTTGTTTTTGAGTCTGTTTGTATGGGATTTGATGGACCTGTAGCATCTAGCTCTTCTGCCCTCCGGTAGATCCTGCAGGTCCATCAAGTCTCGTACAAACAGAATCAAATACCGTATTTACATGAGAGCCATACAAGAACTCATTACTGTCTAAAAAAGATCTAGCACAACATCACATACAGTTACAGACAATTTGGAACTGCACTGCACTTCAACACATATTTATTTATTCCCATTTTAATGAATGTATTTATTAAGCGATAGACTCAATGATTTCTAAATTCCGTTTTTTTTCCTATATTGTAAATTGTATTTATTGTATGCGTGCGTATGTATGCATGTTCTTATGTATGTATGTGTAAATACATATTATTATTTTAAGAATGATTAGAGGTGTGAACGATTGTAATCACTTTACTGTCTTTTTTGTGTAGCCACCTGCCGGCAAACTACAGCTGCACCTACACAGACCCCAACAGGTATAAAACACTCTCAACAACCTACATTTGGAATAGTAAATATTTATTATCAGTTACTGATACGTTGAAATACTCTCTATAAGGACGGCAATCATGTCGTAACTACTGTGGCTACTACCTGACAACCTGCTCCTGCACAACCTCTTGTCGAGGCCAAGGAAACTGTTGTTATGATTACAACTGTAAGTATAATTTACCACAAAGATGCTCGGGGAAGTCTCTGTACACTACGATCACCATTTCTGAAGAAAAGCATGTTGCATCATCTTCTCTATTTACTGAATTATTATCATGAAAATGACTTTGAAGTGGTGTAATCATTTGTTTACTCTCAATAGGATGTACTGTATTTCCCCTTGAAACAGGATGATACCTTTATGAACTCTCAACCAAAGAGATACTAGTTAAAGAAGAGCAAAGCGTAATAATTTATTGCAGATTTACCTACTGTGAACGATTATAGATTCACAGTTTTCCAGACATTTATGTTTCATGTGGTTAAGGTCTCCTCAGTTCCTGTTTTTTTCTGTTTTGGCATGTCCCTTCTGTGTCTTCTTGAATGCCTAACTATGCTGGAAACAGTATTAATTGTGATTTAAAAGATTGTAATAATTGTGTACTCTCTTTGTCATGTAGCACAATGCCTTGCACCTGGCACAACACCCTCAGGTATGAAAATTGTTCAGAGTATGTGGGAAAAAACAAGCCTATAATTTATTCCGTTTACAGGAGAGAAACTGATATGTTTTATTACTCCCCTGTGTCTCTAAGCTCAGCCCTCCTGTCGTTACAACTGTGGCCGACACATGGGAAGCTGTTCCTGCTCAAGCTCTTGTCAATACTATGGAAACTGTTGTAATGACTACTACTGTAAGTATCATGTCCCACACAATTGGCACAGTTTCTACACAAAAACTGAAACCCACCTTGTTTTTGTCAACAGCCTACTGCCAAGTCACAACTGACATGCCAACTACAGGTAGGACCCTTAGTGTGCAACATGAGCCTCTTGTACTGTATAGTTTACTCCAATGACACTTGTGTTATGTTCTTCACGGTCAGCATCGCCCTGTGGAGGCTCTCTGTACGGCTCTGGTTCCTTCTCCAGCCCGAACCATCCCAACAGCTACCACAATAACGCCAACTGTGTGTGGCAGCTCAGGGCTGCACACGACCAACGAATCTTCCTGTCTTTCGACTACCTGCAGTGAGTGAAGAAAACACTCCCTTTTGGAGAACATTCGTATATTAGCAGCTTTTCTGTCTTAATTTAACTTGTGGGGAATTTGGCACTCAATGTGTTATCAACTCATTATGCAAGTCAATAATTTGTGGCTGTCATCTTAAAAACAGATTGGAGAACTGCTGCGGCTGTGACTATATTAACGTCTACGATGGGCCGTCTGTTAACTCAAGATTTCTGGGTAAAGTGTGCTACGACAGTCTACAACAGAGTACTTTCTACTCCACCTCCAACTACATGACGGTGCTCTTCCAGACTGATGGCTCTGTGGTTGGTCGAGGGTTCAATGCTGACTTCATTAGCTCTCTGCCAGCAAGCTCAGGTACTGTTATTGTTACTGTTAAATGTATTATGACATTATATTTGGGTGAAATGTTTCGTGTAGATTGACAAAGATGGCAAGGTTTTGGCATGATATAGTATATACACCAGGTTTACCATCTTCGTTTAAAACAACACAAGGTGATACAACATACAAGTGAATCTGATGTTAAGGTCATTACCAGTATTTTATCAAATAAAAAGGAATGGGAAAAAATCAAATGTACACCTGAGGATGGCGCTATATGGAAAGTAAAGGACCAAAGTTATTATATTTAATCTTGATGGGGACATGAATACAAGCACCAACTTTCATTGCATTCCGTGCAGTATATGTTAATGCATTTTATTTTAAACCACAAATGTGAACCTCAGGAAGAACGAGGGGATCACTGCAGTCAGAAGGTTCAACCTCTGGGGATCATGAACATCTGCACAAAAGTTCATACTAATCCTGTTAATTGTATTACATATATTTCAGCGGATAAACCAACCATGTGTAATCTTAAACCTTTATTCTAAAAGTAATTCAAACTGTCGTAAATATCCTGTGAAAACGATTATTTTGTCAGGTCGAGTGGACTGTTCCTCAGACAACATGAACATTGTGATCGAGAGGAGTTACCTCAACTCTCTCGGCTACGACGTCCAGAGTTTGTATCTGAATGACCAGTACTGCAGACCCCAGGTTTCCAGTTACCAGGTGGTCTTCAACTTCCCCATTAACACCTGTGGCAATGTTCGAAAGGTACACAACTTAGGCTAAGTTGCTTACTTAAAAATGAACAACATACATTACTTCCTGACTCAAATAACTGTCATAATTAGAGGCTCTTTTCCAATATCTTCTGTTTACCAGTTTGAGAATGGCAGCATTGTGTACACTAACTCTCTCCGAGCCTACGCCTCCACCTCTGGCGAGATCACCCGCCAGTCTCACTTTAAGATGAACGTGGGCTGTCGGATGGAGCCGGATTCAGTGTCCCAGATCATGTACGTTGTCCGTCACAATGATAACAGCAGCATTACCGGAACAGGCAGATTCAATACCAGCATGGCGCTCTACACATCCTATAACTTCTACTATCAGGTGTGTTAAAATAAATGAAATTCCTTCTGTAAATACCTAGTTACAAATCTGACGTTTTGCTTTTACACTTTTAGGTGACGGAGGTTCCATACATGGTGACGCTCAACCAGTACATGTATGTCCAAGTGGACCTGGGGAGGGGGGACAGCTCCCTGGTCCTCTATCTGGACACCTGTGTGACCTCACCATCGCCCCATGATTTCCAGAACAGATCTCACTACCTGGTCCGCAACGGGTGAGATGACAGTATGCTGTGTTTCAGTGAAGATTGAGTAAAACCTGCACTTTGTTCAAAGTACAGGCAGAGCTGTGTGATTTGTGACATTTGAAAATCAAGTGAAGTACATCAAACATCAGTAATGGAAAGTTACAGAACACAATTAGTAAATTATTTTTCTTTGATGTACTTTTCTTATACATTTCTGACAGAAATATTGTAACATGTAACACTTGATATGTCCATTGTTTGCAGAATGAGTAGATTTTTATACAAACAGTAAACATAAGTACAATTCTGAATGTAGGACTTTTCTTGCAATGGAATATTTTTGAATTGTGTGACTGGTCTATTTGATATAGAATCTAATATTTTCTTTAACCAGTTAAGTATTAAAATATAGAAATACTTACCGGACCTAGCTTTTTCTGATAACCGGACATAGTAATATTCTCCAGTAACACTGTCTGTTTCTCCTTTAGCTGTCCTGTGGATAACACCTACTATGCCTACGTCAGTGGCACCCATCCCTATGCCCGCTTCAGATTTCAGGCCTTCCAATTCCTGCGAGCCACAGAGTCGGTGTACATCCAGTGCAAGGTCCTGATATGCCTCGCCTCTGACAACAATTCCCGCTGCCGCCGTGGATGCTACAACCGTGCCGCCAGAGACGTGGGGTCAAAACACGACAGCCAAACTCTGGTCCTGGGTCCCATCCAACTCAAAGGTCTGTAGTCATCTACTTGGTTTTGGTAGGGATGTCATAACCTTAAGAAAACTGTACAATAAAACACAAGTCACTTTCTCTTTGACAGAACCAGAGAAACAGGAGGAAGAGACTCCTAAGCAGGAGAAGGCTTAACTTGATTCTGCGGCTTCAATCATCTTCACTGTTCTTTTTGTTCATTGTGACAATGAATCAGCACTTCTTTCCTTTCATCATTAACTGATTAAAAGCATCCTCAAAAGACAATATGTGTTTGTATATTTCATCATGACATACTCTCAAGTGAACTTTAAATATTTTAAACCCATGATAAAAATATCACTGTTATTAATTTCCGTACTTGAACACAAATAAGATGAAGAAAAAGGATGACAGAAGACACAGTGCAGTAAATTAGAAAACACTTTACTTATAAATTAGTAAGATTAATCCATCTCACAATGAAATGATTTGCCATCCCAGAGGGGGAGAATGATCGCCATCCACTGTTACCTATGAACCTATGACACAGAGAACATAAGGCAGTCATTACTGGATGCTCCCAGTACTGGTAAGCATGGCAACAAGGAGGTGGTCCTAGAAACAGTAACTATGTTCTTCCCGCATGTTGCTAAGCAACAAACAACAGTACCCAAGACAAAGAATAATCTTGCTGATGTAGCAGTCTCACTGCAACATTTGCTTTTTTGGACACTAAACATCTACCCACCGACTCAGAATACAATACTCAGTAAATATTCAGAAAAGCACTTTAAAGGATCCGTATGATAGATGGGGAATCTTTGTCTTATCACAAAGGCTAAAACTTGGCATCCCCTGTGC